CTTGTATATATTAGCAAGTAGTAGGAGCACTAGGGGTGTTGAATTTTCTTACAAATTTTTTGTTTTATTCACACAGGTCAGATTGTTGCAATGGAAAAAAAAATACCCTTGGTTTTTCGATCTTTGCTAGTTCTTACAGTTGGCTGTGTCCCAGAAAAAAGGACAATGGAAGATCTGAGTCAGAATGCCTTACAGCTCTTGAGGAACCAAAAAGAAGGGAAGGATTTTCTACACCATTAAGTATTGATTGCTCCTTTCTTCTGGATAATCAACACACAATCTATGGTAAAGAGCAAAATTAAATCTTTAAGAGGCTCCTCACATTAGTCTGCTCAATTTTCATTACAGAACTGCTGGATTCTGCTTTCCTCTATCCATTATAAGAAATACCATTTCTCTCCAGGGTCTTCCTTACTGTTTCAATGCTATCACTTCTGGGTTTAAGGGAGAATCCAACAAAATAGGGGAGATGGAGTGGAGGAAAGAACAGAGAAAGGTGCTGAACTGTTATGTTTTTCTAGGGTTGAAATCCCTCTGTTCTGTTCACGTGGAATGTGGCAGTGTCAGAACTGCAGAGATACTGCAATCTCCTAAGAAGAAAAACACATTTCAGATACAGCTTCTCTGTGTATCTTTGCCTTTGCTACCAAGGTGAAGACAAAAAGTAAATCAATTGTCCTGTCTCTTGGTTCAAACAGGCATGAACTAAGGAGAGTGAGTGCAGCAGAGACCTTGGCCTCAGTTGCCTAAGGACTGCTCAGAAGCATTTGCAGAGAAAGAAGTAAAAGCTGGCAGCTGTACTTACCAAGACCAAAGCCCCACGTCAGCCACTGTCCTGTCTGATAGCAACATGCAGGGGAAGACCAGAAGAACACAGCAAGCAGTTGGCAGCCTTTCTTGAGCTGAATCTCAGTTTCTGGATGTTATGGACTTAAATCTGATTGTCCTTGGATTTTTCATCCCTGAATATGTCTAGCAGTTCCCAAAGATTGGATTTTAAACGGGTTCAAAGTACCCTGTGCCAGTGATTATAGCTTGATCAAACTACATTTGCTTGCGGCCAGAGCATGTCCCTGACTGACCTGAGCACCATGCATCATGAGGGCTATTGGTCTCATTATGTTAGTGTCTTTGCTTGAATTCAACATCAGAATCATGTTTTGTCCTCTTTGAGCCCAGCTGTGTACTGAGATTTGCAAACATCTTAGTATGACCCCCAGACTTGCTGCAAATCTTTTTTGGCAACCAGTGGTGCACCAGCTGCTGTTATAGAATGACATTTTGTTGGTACCCATAGAGACAGACGTTTCCCAGTCCTTTGGTGAAGACTTGGTTCATGTCTACCCACACACAATTCAGAAAAGGGAGGGATAAGATGAATGCTGCCAGACAACTGGAGATTTAATGTAATTATTCTGAGCTCACCAGGAATCCACTGTAATCACCATCAAGAGAAAAGGAGTGGAGCCAGTTCTCGAGGCTTTGGCAGAGCAGGCTTGGGCAGAGCTAAGGCAGAGCTTATTACCGAATAGCTACAGCTTACCGCAGCCTCTCCTTTTCTGACCAGATGCCAGTAATAAGTAGTCATAAGATGAAAGTACTACCAGGTCCACTTCTCAGGTACTACTAAAATAAAACAGCAAGCAGCAATTTTTCGTATTTGGCTGTGTGATATGGAGAGAGATGCCACACACTTGGGAACATCAAATATCACAGAAAACAAGTGAGCTGGACACAAGGCAGAGTGAACACAGAAAGTTTATCAGCTGTTTCATTAGATCACCAGTACTAATCGTATACATGTGTCACCAGTACTAGAGCCTGTAGTCTAGACATATTATGAGGGAAATAGCTTTTTGGTGGAGGGGCAGTCTTTTACCCTGCTAGACAGAAAGCTTTGACTGTGGGACACTGTCTCCTCACTGTTCTGCCACAAGTAAGGAGACAAGTTTTGTTTTCATGACAATAAATTCAAATCCTTATCCTCTGGTGTCTTTAATAGTGCTTTGGAAATGGATCTAGTTTTTAACTGGAGTCTCAGGAATTTAAAATTGCATTGCTGTCAGTGGAGCCAAGCAGCTGTCTTGGGAAAGAAAAAGAATCAAAGAAAATGGTCCTAGCTTTGTCACATAAATAACAAGCAGCCACAGTTCTGCATATGCCTTCTCTGAGAAGAGCAATATGATTAATTTGAAGTGGGATGGTGTTCTTGTAGCTGACCTTGAAGAGTTCTCAAATAGTCAAGAGCTTTGAAGCAGGATGAAATGTCTTGTTAGAAATCAAAGACATCAACAGAATGGCATTTGGCATAACTTTAAACAATGAGGGTTACGTTCAACCAACCCACTTGGCCTCTGGAAAGTTAGGTCCTGGTTACTCCCCCATAGCTGCCACATAAGTCACCAGTATCTCAGACCAAGAGTCACGGTATTTTCTTACAGTAATCTCTTAGAGTGGTATTCTTTGGGGAGTATGAACTGCTCCAAGTCTGCTCTCTCTGCAGTAGGTCAGCATTTCTCCAGTAGAAGTGTTAGCGGTTAGACAAATAAGAATTTGATTGCAGCTGTCAGCACAATTAGGCCAGTGGTGGGAGGGTTTGGAAATCCAACTCATGCTGTCATTAAGAAAAGATGAAAGGGGGGTGGGACGCGGGTGTAGAAAACAAGCAATCCAGCCACATGTCTGTTCTCCTACATGGAGTTCATAACATTGGAAGCAGCAACAAGATAATTAACCTAATTGATTATGTATATGTCATCCGCAGGAGTAGGATTAATAAGATGAATTTAATAATGGACCTCACCACTTCCTCTCTTTCCTGTTCTGAGTCCCTGCCATACATGAGCACTCTTGTTAAAAGAGCTGTTTTCAAGCGACAGTTTCTAACTGTTGTAGGGCCCTTGGAAGACATTGAGAGAAACATCTGGCAGCAAGGGAAAGTGTATAACAACCTGCTGTTGAGTATACTGGTGGAGGTAGGTCTCAGTCCTGCTGGCATTTAAGATTCTGCCTGTTTCTTTCATAACTTCAGATTCTAAAATCTTCGAGTCCCCAGGTACTATAAATCAGTTCTGCCAGCGTGTCACACAATGGTCAGTTGTAAAAGACCAGAGAGGCCCTAGAGAGGGACAAAGGACAAGAAACACAGTCTAGCAGGACTAGACATCTACTCTACTAATGTTTAGCCAAGCCTTGGTCCCTCAGGAAGGTCTGAGACATCAGTGTAGATGAAATGCAGCCTACTGGTGATACATGTGGAAGTATGTTTTCCCTTATTTATTGCTTTCCTCAAGAAGCATTGTTGTACTCCAGGCAAAGCTGATATGATAGTGTGATTCATTTTTCTCTGCATTAGACTAAGAGCTTTACAGGCAGTTGAACTGCTAGCAATTTGCACTTTGGTCTATTTCAGACTTCAGAAAATAAGATTTCTGATTTTAGATGCTTATGTGCGAAAGTTACTCATGAAACAAAGGATTCGTTGTAAAATACCATATTGACCTCTGAAGCAGAAAGCAAAAGTTGCAGCCTAATGAATAAAATGACTCAGTGTTTATTCCAACGGATAACACTTTCTGTGTGCGTCGCATTAGTTGATTCGAAGCAAAGTGTGACTGAAGCAGTGCAAAATCTACCTATTTAAAGAGCTCTGAAAACTACTTCATGAATTGATGGGCTACTCTCTTTCTGTGCACCTTCATCATGCTTTAGCTCTTCCCCGTCTCCTGCATACAGCTCTGTGCACAAAATACAGTGTGAAAACAGATACGGAGCAAACTGCTTAAAATTTTATTCAAGTGCCCCCTCCTGTGGATGTACAGCTACATGCAGTCAAACACAGCTTGAGAAACAATGAATTAGTCTAAGAAGAAAGTATCAGAAATATCTTTAGAGGAAGAATTCGAACTTGATCCTGTGAATACATAAGATTAAGTGGCTTACGGCACGGTTTCATCTTTGAAAATCTCTTTCATTTAAGGAACTTTATTAGTGTTTGCTCCTGTATGTACTCCATACAGCTAGACCCCTTTTGAATGTCATGGTTTAGAGAAACAGTTCTGCAAATTCAGCCCAAATCTTCACAGTTGTGTCAATGATAAGAAGATCAGTGGCAATGTTTATATTTGGACACGATCAAATAGGAAAATGTGTGAAAAAAAGGTGTATAATGAGGGAAAAATAATGAGGGATTAGCTGCTATTTCTACTTCAAAGGGAAATCCTGTCATGGTACTGTATAGACAGATCAGGGGAGACTTAGCAGGATTCATGTTCTTAACAGCTCATGGGTAGTGACTAGTCAGTACGAGATGCTGAGGACATCTCCTAAATATGACCTTGGTCCCAAAAAACATTAGCTTACAGATTTGCCCCACAGCTCAGCAGGATCTGTTCTTTCCAAGGTTAGTTACAGGCTGTTGCTGTCTACAATACCCAACCATCCTGCTCAAGTTTTCCCCAGGGTGACACAACTCTTCTTTGCTGCAGTTTAAATATATTGCTTCCTAATTACTACTACAAGGCTTTAACTTTCCTGGAAACCTCTGGGTTTTGTGCTTTCTCCAAGCAGACCGATTGCTTAGTCTGCCTTCAGAGGCCTTTCAACACATGCCCTGGTCCTAAGCACATTACAGGCAAGTTAATCCTTGCCAGTTTACACTGTCAGGGACCAACAGAGATAGCCACCTCCCCTGTAAAAGATGGGAGGGTTGCAGAAAAGGACAGCTGTAGGCTAATCATGGGAACTAAAGGCTGTTCATGTATTCAGGCCCCTGACTGTAATGTACTAGTAGTCTAAAGCCTAGTCCTCAGGACAGTGCTGTAGTGGCAAGTATCCAAGATCAGAAGATACTATCCTGGAAATAGTTACAGATGAGGGTAGGTGACCTAAGCTTTATTTCTTACTGAAAGAAGGAAAAATTTGGTAACACTTAAAAAGAGAAAACTCTAAACCAGAAAGTTAATCCCAAGAGCATCCTATGAGGTTTCATTTCAAATTACCCAGCTGGTGTAAAATGGCAGGAGTTCCCAAGTGGTCCATTTTCTTCATAGTTGTCTATTTTCTTCATATGTGGCAGCCCAGCAAGCCTAATTTTCATTCATGTCAAATCCTGTTTCACTCTGGCAGTCCTCCAAGAGATCTTCAATACAAAATACCACTTACATAGAATGTTCTCCTGTAGTACCTTAGCTTAAAGTTAAGGCTAAAAAAACCTTTATGGCAACTGTACTTTCTTCTCTACCTCCAATGCTCAGACTACTTTCAGTCTGGACTGCAAGGTCTGGCAGTGACTTCTACAGAGTCTGCTAGAAGTCATCCATGTCAACTTTATTTATCCCAGTTTTGAAGTTTTTGGGAACTTTGAACTTCATCTTTGGGAAGAAGTTCTGCTCCAGGACCCCCAGCACTTTGGTGGTCAGGAAGACACTGCTCCCTCACCATTTCCTATTATGGGAGGAACTTTTTTCCCCCAGCCCCTGCTTTGAGGTTCAGAGACTTAAGAGATGTGGGAAGAACAACTGTCAGTGAAAACTGAGACAAAAATGTTCTGGAGTACCTCAGCCTTCTCCATGTCAGTTGGCAAAAGATCCTTCATCTCAGTTAACAGGAAGGCACAAAGCACAAAAGAAGCCCACATCATTATTCTTCACATCCTTTACTGAATTCAGCTCCAATTGTGCCCTTCTGATTTCATCCCCATGGTCCCTTGCAGTGTGCCTGTATTCCTCCCAGGTTGTATGTCCCCACTTCCAATTCCTGTGCATTTCCCTCTTGTGGTTCAATTTGGCAGGAGGGCCTTATTCAGCCATGCTGGTCTCCTACATTCCTTACCTGATTTCTAGAACATGAGAATCAACAGTTATTGTCCCCTTATGTAAAGCAGTTTTAGATAGCTGTGTTCCTTTATCCCAGAGGGCAGTTTTCCAGGGTTAGCCCGTCCACCACTGCTTTGAAAAACTGAGAAGTTTATTTCACGTATGGTTTAGGGTCTTGACTACACTTTCTTCCTCACCTATATCTCTTGAGATCACAGACAGACAAGCAGTTCTGCATTTGCTCTTCTCCCTTGCCAAGCTCAGTCAAAGAGAGGCCATCTTGGTGCAGCATCAGGCTCTGAGGTACTACAGGGAAAATGAGAATACGATGGGTTATTTCCACAGCCTATTCAAACCGCAATCCTTTTTCTATTCCTATGTTATCTTCACTGTAAGTGATACAAAGATAGCTTAGCACTCTGTAGGAGGTGACAAGGTATCCATAACGATGGTGAGGATGAGGGAAAGGGAACAGTATGGTGAAATTGCCATGTTACAGTGCCTGAAACAGAGAGGGATTTATCTACTTTAAGGTGTGGCAAGTAGAACTCCTTTGAATTCTTGGAGTCAAAGCCTTGCAGACCTCTTACTTCATGATAATCAACGACCAGTGAGACAGCTGTGCTGCAGAAGTGATGCAGACATCCACGCAGGGTTGCATAGCAAGAATTTACAGATCATATTTCCACTCAGAAGCCCCCACTCCAAGCTGTGGTGTGACAGAAAAAAATGCTCCACTTTCTTCTCAAAGCTTGCTCTGATGGCTCATGGCAGGCAGCAATGTTGGGGCTGTTTGGCACTGTGTCCCCCCATCACCCTGCAGACTTCATCTGGGGAAGACTGGACCCCATCCAGCCTCTCCTTGGCCCAAAGGCCATCACGAACTGAACACAGGAAATACCTTCTGGAGAAGTGGCTACCTCCTATAGGCTCTCCATGGGGGTGTGAGGGGTGCAACTACTTTCAGCAAATGGATGTCAGAGCTTGAGGTTGGTGGCATAGGTTTGACAGCTCAAGAAGGAGCAAATTCCTGGAAGTGAGCCAAGGGCTGCCTTTGATGTTCAGTGGGAGGAAGCAGGGGAGCCCAGAGGGCTGGCCAGCACTGCAGGGGCATGGAGAGAGACTGTGGAACTTTGTTCTGCAGGCACCCAGGCAGACACAAGGTGTTATTAAATGAACCCTTCTGCTGCCTGTGCCTGGGCATGTCTTCCATGGCCAGGGTGACCTGACAGGGCCCTGGTGTCCTGGTTTCAGCTGTCACAATTATTTTTCTTCCTCCTAGTAGCTGGTACAGGTCTGTGTTTTGGCTTTAGTCTGAAAACAATGCTGATAATACACCAATTCTTTTAGTTATTGCTGAGCAGCGCTTACTTCAATCAAGGACTTTTCAGTTTTGTACTCTGCCAGTTGAAGAGGGGCACAGGAAGCCAGGAGGAAGCAAAGACAGGACACCTGACCCAAACTAGCCAAAGGGGTATTCCATACCACAGCACATCATGTGCAGTATATAAATAGGGGAGAGTTACCTGGAAGGCCCAGATCGCTGTTTGGGTCGAGCTGCGTATCGGCTGGAGGTTGATGAGCAATTGTATTGTGTATTACTGCTGTTTATTGTTTTTTCCTTTCCCTTTCTAGCTTTATATTCTCTCCTCTTGTTATTTCCCTTATCATTATCATTATTAGTAGCAGTTTTATATTATACTTTAGTTATGGGGCTATTCTTATGTCAACCCATGGGATTTAAATTCTTTCAATTCTCCTCCCCATCCTGCTGCAACTAGGGTGGAAAATGAGGAGTGAGCGAGCGGCTGCATGGTTCTGAGTTACAGGCTGGGCTTAAATCACAACAGTCCTTTTTGGCACCCAACATGGGACACAAAGGTTTGTGATAAAGACAGGTATGAACAGAGTGTGTCTAATCATATTTGTGATAAGCATTTATTGGTTTGGATTGTCACTCATCATAATGTTGATTTATTTGCTCTTGCAGTTGTTGCACTTGTTCTCAGAGTTTCAGTATGTCGCAACTTACTTGCATCTACTATTTGCTGTTTTAGTGTTTATCAGCTTTGTGACCTGGGCTAAGGTTCTTGTTTCACTGTACTTTATAATAATGGCTTGTAACACAATAAAATTATTTGATCTGGTATGTGTTCTCAGTGTGGTTATCACTTCTATACTTTGGAAGGCATATAATGAGAATAATTAACAATTACACCTCTTTTTTGCCCTCCCTGGAGAGTCAACCTACGGAGAAGACATCCTCCCACACCTTCCATTCCCCTGCCTGGCTGTTTGCAGTAGATTTGGGGAATTTTAAAGATTTTTGACATCCTTTGAATACCCTTGAAACAAGCTTGCTCCTTTTCCTGGGAACCATTATTTTTTTGAATGTAGTACAGGTTTTATTTAAGGTTAAGAAACTACCTAAGAATACCACCAAGATATCCTCCCAAATGCTGGCCAGTCATGAGTGGGTGTGTGGCATCATATGGGCAAGCATCTGGGTCAATTGGCCCCTCCAGTGCTTTGGAACTTCACCCCTGAACAAGTGAGAAATATGGAAAAACTAGTAAAACAAATGGGGTGTGCTGTCACATGGCCCAGAAGAGGAATGATTTCAAACGGGGCCCTGAGCAACAACAAGCCTTTGAGCAAATTAAACGAGAGAGAGTTCATGCAGTAGCCCTTGGACCAGTCCAGACCAGGCCAGATGTAAAAAATGTACTGTACACTGCAGCTGGGGAGAACGGTCCTACCTGGAGCCTCTGGCAGAAAGCTCCAGGGGAGACCCAAGGTCGACCCCTCGGCTTCTGGAGCTGGGGATACAGAGGATCTGAGGCCAGTTATACTCCCACTAAAAAAAGAGATACTGGCAGCCTATGAAGGAGTTTGAGCTGTTGCAGAAGTGACAGGCACTGAAGCACAGCTCCTCCTGGCACCCCGGTTGCCCGTTCTCGGCTGCATCTTCAAAGGCAGGGTATCCTCTACACATCATGGAACCAACGTTACATGGAATAAGTGGGTTGTACTGATCACACAACGATCTCAAATAGGAAATCCCAGTCATTCAGGAGCCCTAGATATCATCATGGGCTGGCCAGAGGGCAAAGATTTTGGAATGTCACCAGAGGAGGAGGTGATGCGTGCTGAAGAGGGCCCACCATACAATAAACTGTCAGAAAGTGAGAAGCAGTATGCCTTGTTTACTGATGGGAAAGCGTCAGAGATAGAAGGCAGCTGTATGGAGCCCCCTGCGACAAGTTGCAGAAGCTGCTGAAGGAGAGGGTGAATCGAGTCAGTTTGCCGAGGTGAAAGCCATCCAGCTGGCCCTGGACATTGCTGAACGAGAAAAGTGGCCAGTACTTTATACTGACTCAAGGATGGTGGCAAATGCCTGTGGCTCCAGCAATGGAAGTAGAGCAACTGGCAACGCAGAGGTAAACCCATCTGGGCTGCTTCATTGTGACAAGATATCGCTGCCCAGGTGCAGGACCTGGTGGTGAAGGTACACCATGTAGATGCCCATGTAGCCAAGAGTCGGGCCACTGGGGAACACCAGAACAACCAACAGGTCAATAAAGCTGCTAAGACTGAAGTGGCTCAGGTGGACTTAGATTGGCAACATAAGGGTTGTCATGGTTTAAACCCAGCCAGACAGCTCATTCACTCACTCCCCACCTTCTTTCTCTCCCCCTACTCCCGGAGGGATGGAGAGGAGAATCGAAAAGAATGCAACTCCCATGGGTTGAGATAAGAACAGTTTTAGTAACTAAGGTATAACACAAATCACTACTGCTACTACCAATAATAATAATGATAAAGGAAATAACAAGGGAAGAGAATACAACACCTCAGCACCAGCTGACTGATAACTCACCCCCCCCAGCCCGACCAAGCACGGACTGATACCTCCTCCAACCCTGCAGTCCTCTAGCCCTTCCAGGTAACTCTCTGTTACATCCTGGGCATGACGTGCTGTGGTATGGAATACTTCTCTGGTCAGTTTGGGTCAGGTGTCCTGTCTCTGCTTCCTCCTGGCTTCCCCTCCTCCCTGGCAGAGCATGAGGCTCACAAAGTCCTTGGCCAAATCAAAGCATCATTGTTATCAGCTCTGTTGCCAGGCTGAAAGTCAAAACACTGCACTGCACCAGCTACCAAGGAGAAAAATGACTGCTACTGCTGAACCCAGGACAGTATCCACCCCTTATTCCATACCATTCACGTCATGCTTAGATCCCATATTTTCAATATATCATCACTCTTAGTGCATGGACCAGTCCCTATAAAGCTGCTGAGTCCATCTGGTCCATGATGCCAGGCTCCATCTCTCGTAACAGTCTTTCAGAGCAGGAGAGACTGTGTGCAGTGTTCACGTTCGTGAATAACCTGGGCAATAGTGTCCATTGCTAAGTCCACCCCTCGATCATGAGTCCATCTCTATGTTGCATCTCTGCTCTGTTGGCCTGAAGTGCCATGGGCCCACCAGGCTCAAAATAATTCACTGTCCCCTTCAGCAGTTTCTGCAGCTTGTTGCTGGGGACTCCATACAGCTGCCTTCCATCTCTGATGCTTCCAAAGCACTGGAGGGGCCCAGTGGACTAGATACTTGCCCATACTGTCCCACACACCCTGCCACTCATGACTGTCCAGCTTTGGGGAAAATCTCCTGGTCCTCCTATATTGTCGTCTAACCCCAGACAAGACCCAAATCCAACTCTGCTTAACTTTTGAGATCAGACAAAATGGTTGTGGGTAGAACACAGTCTGTGTGTGTGCCAACATGCTGATCCCCATCACAATCAGCAGGCAGGTACCAAGGGTACCCAAAGGCCATTCAAAACCTTCAGAACTCTCAGTTGATGCTGCTGTACTTGTCACTGGGGCTGGTGTAGCTGCTGTGCTTGCCGGCTCCCACCGCCAGCTTCTCTTTTCCTGAGTCCAGCTCTTCCTCCTCTGCCTTGCCGGGAAATGCTGCGTGGTCTCCTGCATCCTCCTGGGGCTCGGCAGGCGGCTGCCGGGGAATGCTCTTGGCCGCAGTGGGGCTGGGCTCAGCCACAGGGCTTGGCTCCTCTGCAGGGACCGATACCACAGCACGTCATGCCCAGGAGGTAACGGAGAGTTACCCGGAAGGGCTAGAAGATGGCAGGGTTGGAGGAGGTATCAGTCGGTGCTTTGTCAGGCTGGGGGGGCGAGTTATCAGTCGGCTGGTGATGAGATGTTGTATTCTCTACCCTTGTTATTTCCTTTACCATTACTGTTATTGGTTGTAGCAGTAGTGATTTGTGTTATACCTTAGTTACTAA